ACCCACCCCCAATGTCCCCACCCAGACCATCCGACCCTCAACGTCCCAACAACCCTGAACCCACCTCTAACATCACCACCACCAGCAACCTACCCCTGATGTCCCCACTAAGCCAATCCAACCCCCAATGTCCCCACCTGATGTCTCCACCAAGCCGATCCAACCTCCAACACCCCAACTACCCTCAATCCAGCCCTGATGTCCCCACCAAGCCCAACCCACCCCTGATATCCCACTAAGCCCATCCAACCTCCAATGTCCCAGCCACCCTGAACCCACCTCTAACATCTCCAACCCACCTCTGGTGTCCCCACCAAGCCCATCCAACCCCTGGTGTCCTCACCTGATGTTTCCACCAAGCCTATCCAACCCCCAACCTCCTCACCATCTCTAACCCACGCAGAACTGATGTCCCCACCCCCTATCCCACCTCCCGGAGACTGATGTGTGCCGGGAAGACGATGTCGGAGCCCTCGCGACGGAAAACTTCGTGTGGTTTGTCCTTGAGCACGAAGACGACATCGGCAGGGATGTTGTTCGGGGTCTGATCACCCTCCTTGGGGAAGGTGATCTTGGTGCCTTCCTTCCACCCCCTCTTGACCTCGATGGTCAGGATCTTGTCCTCGTTCCTCACCGTTTTCCCGTCGGGGTTGAGTCGCTTGTGGGAGATCTTCATCTTTTTGGTGCAGCCACTGTAGATCTCCTCCAGGGACACTCTGAGGTCATAGAGCACCGGGGGGTCCTGGCGCCGCCCGTCGTGGCCGCGGGGGCCGCGGGGGAAGCTGACACTGCCAAAGCCTCCGAGGTGGAAGGTGCTGAAGGCCTCGTCGCCATCGTCGTCGTCGCCGTTGCGCTGCACGAAGAAGGTGTCGAAAGGGTTGCGGCCGGCAAAGAACTCAGCGAACATGGCGTGAGGGTCCCCACGGAACGTGTAGGTGAACGTGGGGCCCGAGGAACCCCCGGCGCCGGTGCTGGGAGCTCCTCCCTTCAGCCCTGCCAGGGGGAACACAGTCAGTGGGATGTGGGGCAAGTGTGGGGAAGGTGTGGGGCAGGTGAGGGTGTGGGGAAGGTGTGGGGCAAGTGAGGGTGTGGATCAGGAGGAGGATGATCAGTGGCGGGACAGGAGAAGGTGTGCGACAGGAGAAATATGAGCCCAGTGTGTGGGGCAGGAGAAAGTGTGGGACAGGTGAAGGTGTGGGACAGTGTGTGGTGCAGGAGGTGTGGGACAGGAGGATGAACAGTGCGTGTGTGCCAGGAGGTGTGGGACAGGAGAAGGTGTGAGACAAGAGAACGAGCAGTGTAGGTGTGCGCCAGGAGAAGGTGTGTGCCAGGAAAAGCTGTGTGCCAGGAGGATGAGCGGTGTAGGTGTGTGCCAAGAGAAGGTGTGTGCCAGGAGAAGGTGTGTGCCAGGAGAAGGTGTGGGACAGGTGTGGGACAGGAGGATGAGCAGTATAGGTGTGTGCCGGGAGGAGGATGAGCAGCGTGTGCG